GAAAGTTCTGGAGACTCCTAGGTTCCTAGTCTCCAGAACAAAGATTATGGCTTTTTATTGAGATATTTTTAAAATAGCATTTGTTTAATTTGAAGGGATGAATCTCCTTTAGGTACCAGTCTTGGTTGCAACTCTCTATGTTTAAAGACAGTTTCTAGAAGGGGATTACTACTAACATTGAACAATTAATGGTTTCCTTAAAGTATTGTTAGCAATATAAGCATTCTGATTTCTAAGATGACAAACATGGTTTTCTCCCACTATGTAGCTGCTTTATTTTTTGAGACAATTTTTATGGTAGTGCTGTTGAGAAATATTCTACAAGTGATTATGTTGCAAGCCGCCCAGAGTCATTGGGTACAGGATGGGCGGCAAATATATTTATAAGCAAGCAAACAAAGTGATATCCTTCTTGGTTGTGATTCCATCGTTATCGAATTTTTCCAGCTATCTTCAATAGTTCGGTTTCATCAGCTTCATATGGACTTCTTTTATGTTGATGTCTTTGTTGCTGATTGAATTGTGTAGGATTGCACAAGACTGTTTCTAAAACCCATTCTTACATTTTGCCTTTGTTTTGAGAACCTCTTACATGATTCACATGAATAGTCTTATCATTCCTTCCTAGTTTTGTAAATGTAATTTGTATCCTTAACAATTAGATTTCCTTATAGAGACATGCTGATAGGTGATGATAATGTGGGGCACCATCTCAAGTCAATTCTGAAGTTTCTATCTTAAATCTTTGGTTTGACTTTGGTCTCAAAAGTGAATGCATGTATCTATTCTAAGAAGTAGATGGTATGGAATTTGGTCTCTGGAGAGAAAACGGAATTGTCTTAAGAGAATTTACAGTGAGTAAAACTTTCACCCTCCACACTTTGCAATAGAAAAAAAAATCAAATGATACAAACTGAAACACATTTTCTTACTTTTTATCCAACTTTTTCTCCAGTAAAGAACAAACTGAGCTTCACGTCTTCATTGATTCCCATTTTAATTTTAGAAAATACTCAGGAATCATAAAGGTTTACATTTCATAGAAGAGAACTTAAGAATACTATTCAGTAATTTAGATTTTTCTCTTTCCCAACACAAGTAAAATGAAATATCTGGGAATCTAATGAAAAAGCTCTTGCTATCCACTGTCGTCCTCACACTTAAGACCTTGAATTATCGGCAAAATCACTTTGCCCCAGGGCATCATCATTTGCAATTTGTTCCATTCTTTGAAAAATGGGCTAGGGCTCTACTAGAAATTAATCAATTTCTCAGCAGTGGAAATAGAATATTGCACAACTTCCAGGAGAATAGATTGCACCTACAATGAAAACAGAGTTCAGGATGTGACTTTTTGTTTTTAGTAAGGCAAGAATTGAAGCTGCATTTTTTAATCTTTCAGAAGGACCTTATCTGTCTATTAGCTCTGTAATTTTCACCCCCCACAACAAACTTCCTACCCTCCCCAACAAAAATAGCTGTATTCACTCCTAGGTACTTTGTCTATCCTCGGATACAAAATGCAATGAGGTAGTCTGGAAGGAGAAATCATTGTATGTTACACAATCAAATGCGAAATTACTCTGAAGACATTTCTTCTATTGCTGTTCCAATGATGATTTTTCTATAATGTGGATTGGGCATATGGGAGACAGCCATCATCCTGATTACCAGTTGGCAAATGTTGTTATATTTATCCCCTCTTACAAAATTAGCACAAATTAACTGTGCTTTTTTTGTCCAACCTAGATGCCGCTTCAGACTACCACTGTCTCCAAATGGTACATTTGGAGAGATCATCAGCATGCAAATGTACACTGTGCACTATTCCCATTATAGCCATAATCTGGATAGCGTATCTAAATCCACAGTAAATTCTTTGTTTCAGTATTGGAAATAATAGTACCTATCATTGAAGTGTAGAGTACCACTATCAGTTCACAACTGATTTTTTTAAATACCAAAAATGTGGTTGTTTAGTGATCAAGCATATTTTCTTTTTTTTTTAATTTTTATTTTCCATTTTTCCAATTTACATAACAATAAGCATTTTTTAACAGTACTGTGATGTGTCTCTTACAGTTATCTATATTTATTTCTATACATTTTTGTTTCTCTGTTCTAACCACTTATACCACTTATCCCAAACCTTGTAAAATTCTGTTTCTTCCTTGCCTTTTATTTCTAATGTGAGTTTAGACATCTTGGCACATTCTAATATCTTATGAATAATCCTCTCATTGGTTACCCAATGTGGTTGTTTAGGGATCAAGCATATTTTCAAGGCAGCCTAAGATAAGAAAGATTTGAGGGTTTGTGTGTGGGGGGTAGGGGGGTGGGGGGTGGGAAGGGAAGAATGCTTCACTGATAATGGTGGGGTATTGACAATTATTTTTATTTGAAGCATTACAAGATTATTGATTGCAATAGTGCTGACAAACAAAGGTAATACAAACAAATATGAAAATTTGTCTTCTATTTATACATGATGTGGAAGTCTAGAGATCAGCCATTTACAATTGTGCAAATTAACAAAGGTTTCTAGATAGCCATTTTCAGGAAACTATTTCACCTTTATCAATCCCCCCCCAGTCATTGAACAATTCTTGCCCACTGAGCTCAGTGGACATATTTAGTCACTTTACTTCTTAGGACATTTTTCTTAAAAGTTTCTTAACCTTCTCAGACCACGAATTTGACTATGAAAAGCATACTGGAGACTGCACTCTAAAAAGAGGATGAGGCCAGCTGAAATATTAAATTTGTTTTAGTAAAATTAGATTAAATTCGTGAAAGATAATTAAAATGTTATTTTCTCAATCCTTCTTTGATTTGGGCAATTATGTACTGGATATATAAGAATCAATATTCAATAAGACTTTAATATATATATATATATATATATATATATATATATATATATATATATATATATATATAATATATATACTTTTCTAGTCAGGTTTTTCCTACGTAACTCAAGATGTTTGTATTGCCATAGTTGGGTGATATATGGCAATACAAACATCTTGAGTTACGTAGGAAAAACCTGACTCCGAGGCTAGAAATTCGTCCCAAAAGAAAGTCCAAGTCACTTCCCTGCACCCACATGTCCATCACATGGTCCAATCAATGCACCGTCCTAACTGGAGATGCCTCCCAGTCACACCACTTCAGGTGCAGACCCAGATGTCCTTGACTCTCAGAAAAAGGAATGTTATTATGGCTAAATATCTCTACCACGCAAGGGCATGTACATAACATCTCTTGGGTCAAAAAGATCTTTGCATGATCAACAATGAAATGCTGCAGCTTGATCCTAGAAAACACACATTAGCTCTAAAATACATCAATAAAAATAGCTAGAAATACATATATCTTAAGAATAAATCTATATAAGTTTAATTCATGGCTATTAATGTCAACATATTTTTTCCAGTTCAGACTATAAAGTTTTACTTGAAGTCCCCATACTTCATGGGGAACATGACCAGAATCAGTTTTAATTTCAACAGTACCGTAGGGCAATGTGAAAGTCAGGACCATGGACAGAGGCATTCCTATAAGCAAGGGCACTGGTTGCAATCAGAATGGGGGAACTCTTCTTGGTGCTGATTAATGCTATTTACATTTTTGATCATGTATAAAATAGAGTTGTATTGCCGTGATTATTATGATAAAACTTGCCAAGAAAAACCAATTGTTTTTAAAAAGCACTGGAACCATTAGTTCCTGGCATGAAGCTGTTTTTTTTCCTATTCCTCTCCTTGCTGAAATAAACACAAAATACAACATAGCAGTTGAAGAAGATATCAAATCAATAGATGCTAAACACCCAAGGGATAGGGCCTCTCACACACTCAATGCCCCAGGCCTGCGTACACTACCAAATCTTTACTGCCTTATAAAAGGAGAGCAGGATTGGTAGAAACATATGGCAAGAGATGGTCCCTTGGGGAAAATCAATGCACTCCACAAGAATCTGATTGCTGATCAATTACAGAAAACCCTTTGAAGCAATTGGACCAATGTTGTTGGACCAATGACTGGTCCATGTTGGACAAATGATGTCTCACAATGTATTACACCACACCACACATGCAAACACACACACACACACACACACACACAAACACACACAGAGGGAGGGAGGGAAGGAGGGAGGGAGGGAGAGAGAGAGGGGGGGAAGGAAATACATTGCCAATATGAGAACTGGGGTTCTTGTATAATTTATATTGTATAGAAGTTTGGGGTGTAACTTGAAATTAGAGGAATCCCTTTTAACCTAAAAGCACAGATATCATAAGGTATTATCCTCTTGTGTAAATAAATAAATGACATGAGAAAAGCACTACTACTGAGAAATGTAGTAGATTATAGTGCCCAGAGTTTCTATATAACTAAAGGTTCCTCACCCAATTATTGTTTCAACTAAGCACAATTACTTAGGAGTTAGAGAGACAGCTGTGTACATTTCTTTCAGCAAGATAAAGAACTCTGTGGCATATTAAAGAAAGTAAAAGTTTGGTCACTTACAGGAACACATCCACACACTTTTCTTGGCACAATGCACAAATCATTTGCCATGGTTGTGTTCCAAGAGGTCACCTTAACGTTATTTTCCCAGTCTACTCTACACATCAGGATTGTGGAGGAGGTTGCATGACTTGGGTATTTTTTGCACGCTCAGAGAATTAATTACTTGGATATTTTTTTTTTAAAAAAACTGCATTGTGAAATAGTATTTCCGAGGTAAAACTGATATTCTAAAATTATTATTAGTTTACTCCCAAGGCCAGGCAACTCATCTCGAAGGCCCGAGGTTAGCCCCCAGCCCTATTTAGGCAAAGAGTTCAAACGTCCGTCAGGGAGAATGACACCCGGGAGAAACCAGATTTGGCAGGTGCCGCTCCCCTCCCCTCGGAGGCGCGGGGGTTGGGAGGGCAGTTGCGGGAAAAGGCGTGGGCGCGCTTCTCATTGCGCATCCTCGGGCTCGCTCCTTGCTTCTGGGCTGAAGGCGGTTGGGTCTGCGGCAGGCGGGCGATCATGGCGCTGAGCAATTTCCTCTTCGCTCAGTGCATCTGCTACTTCCTCGCCTTCCTTTTCAGCTTCATCGTGGTGGTGCCGCTATCGGAGAACAGCAACGACTTCCACGGCCGCTGCCTGCTCTTCACCGAGGGCATGTGGCTCAACGCTAACCTGACGGCCGAGCGGCAGCGCTTCACCGTGCAGGAGTGGGGACCCGAATCCGCCTGCCGGTTCAGCCTCTTCGCCGGCCTCCTCTCCCTTTTTCTCGCCGCAGTGCAGGCCTGGAGGACCCTCTTTTTCCTTTGCAAAGGCCACGAGGAGTAAGTGTTGGTCTTGCCTCCACCTGGCCCGGGAACCGAAGCGAACGGGGGTGCTGCTTATTGAGAGGTCGGGGGGGAAGGCGAAGAAGGGGATTGAAGAAGAAAGGGGAAAGATCTGCTCTTGGGGCCCCGCAGATGCAATGCCTGGGGCTCCGGAGGACAAATAGGATTTTTCAAAAGTTGATTTCCCTGGGGAGGGGGATTTCCGTTGTTCCTCTGGCCGGCTTGGTTCCTACAACACACTACCCAGAGATTAGCCACCCCTGTTTACAATTCTTCATTGTGTTATCTCACAACGAAGTTGGGGCTAATCAAATAAACTATGGTTAAATAAACAATGACTAATCTGGGATGGGAAGATTCTATAATATGGAGCTCTCCGACTGCAATGGACACTACCTCCCATAATATTGAACAACTCTTCATTTAGAGTAGTGTCTGTGAGAGGTATAATCCAGACAACTGGGGTAGGCATACCATTTTGGGACTTCATAAATCCAGCCAACTACTTGATGGTATCATTTATTTTTATTTTTTTTTGGTGTATCTCTCTGCTGTCGTTTACTGGCCTTCCAGATTTTCACAGCCAGCTATGGTAAATCCAATCTGGAGAGTATGGAAAGGGTAGCAGATACTCATTGTTTAATTGTTGTACAACTGTATAACTTGACCAAGTTCTTTGATTAATGGGATTTACTTTGAAGTGTGGCTGCATAAGATGATGACCTAATGTAGCAGGCAAGGTCATCCAAACAGATGGATAAAACATCTTAAAGCTATTTAAATATATATATTAAGTGTCCAAATCAATGTATAAATTCAGATTTCTCTTAATTGAGACCAAGAATTGTATTGCTAAGCAACATAGTCATAAAGCATGATGTCATGTAACCACACCAACTTATAATGGCAGTGGTAGCAGTCCCAGTTGTCATTGATAGGTGAATCCCATGTGGTTTACAGTGTCCCTTGGTCATATGATATGCCTTTTGCAACCTCCTGATGGCTTCCCCATTGCCTTTACTTGTCAGATGCTGGTAGTGAAGTTTACAAATGAGTACAGGACATTATGACCCTTGCAATTGTGAGCCAGTTGTCAATTACCTGAATCACAATCATGTGATTGTGGGGATGCTGAGATAACACAGCTATGATGAATAGTCATACATTTGCCTTGTTCAGCGCCACCTTAACTTCAAACTTCAATTGCTGATTGTTCAATGAAGGTTACCTGTAAAACCAGTAATAGAATAGATACATACCAAGAAGCTAAATAAATCAAAAACATTTGCATAACTAAAGATAAGTGATTAATGCTAGTTAGACCTTTCATTCCCCAGTTGGGTGCCCTATGGATGTATTAGATCAGGGATATCAAACTCGCGTTGTCACGGCGTCGTCACATGACGTATTGTGAATTTTTCCCCCTTCACTAAACCGGGCGTGGGCATAGCCAGTGCGTGACACATCCAGCCTATGGGCCATGAGTTTGACAGCCCTGTATTAGATGAATGAGATGCTGGACATTGTAGTACAATAGATCTGCAGATACAAGATTTTGGTTAATACTTGCAAAATTTTCCCAAAATTTCCATTGTACTGAATTAATCCCATCATATCCTGTGTTACTCTATTGCTATAAAAGTCAATCAGACCATTTAGAAAATTTATGTTGGCATTGTCTATTCAATGGAAAAGTAGGCGTGATTCCAGTCAGCTTCTTCAATGTGCTTTGTGCATAGTTCATTATTGTAATTTTATGTGACAGCTATTGAAGACCTACATCAATGGAAAATTTTTCCTCCATTCGGTCTAGCTTTTTTCTTACTAGCTCCATAACTCTAAAGATGTGACTGTTCTGTAATGGTATGGCTCTTTACTCTCCTAAATTTTCTAGTTCTGAGGATGTATATATGTGTTTTATATACTTCTTTTTACCAGAATTTCAGACCATCACTGTGCAGTTTTGAAATCACCTATGAATCTTGTCTTTACATATCTTTTCCATTCCAAGTAGAAAGCATTTTTTCCATATTGCTTAAATGAAGTATTTATTTTTATTTATTTATTAGTCCAATTTATATTCTGCCCTTCTCCGTAGACTCAGGGTGGCTTACAATGCATTATAGCAATAGCTGCATACTTTTTTTGTACATACCTGCTTATTAGGGCTTTCGCCTCCCCCCCCAAAGCGGTGTTCTATACAAAGTTGACTTATTGCCCCCACAATCCGGGTCCTCAATTTACCTACCTCGAATGGATGGAAGGCTGAGTCAACCTTGAGCCTGGTGAGATTCGAACTTGCACTAATTGCAGGCAGCTGGCAGCTAAGTGCTAGCACTTAACAGCACTTTAGTCCGCTGCACCACCGAGGCTCTTTAGTATCAAAGAGTATCAAAGCTATAACATTTGAAAATAGAAGAAAATCTCACATCTCAGGCATGAAAGTTTCATCAGACATAAAGATTATGTTACGTTGCACTATGGAATTTTTCAAACCTTGTGAAGAATAAGAAAGAAATGAATATTTTTAAAGAGGAGATGTGATTTGGAGATAGTTTTATTTTTTTTAAATTAGCATCCAGATTAACCCAAAGCAGAATGATGAGCAGATGCTAAAACAGACAATATGTACTATTTTAGTGTGGGCTAAACAGACATGTTCAGCTAAGCAACCCAAGGCACATTTGTATAACAAATACTTTTTTGATCTCTGTGGAGATGTGTTTCTATATCATTTGCTGATATTATACTAAGAGGTTATTTAAGACTGCTTCATTATGACTTGATCAAAGAAAGGGGAGAGGAAGTTTTTGGTTTAGCAGATTTCATAAACATAAAATAAAATATCAGCATGTAAAATCATCTTAGGATCTGCTGCACCTGAGGATCAGAAACATTCTGGATGCTGCAATGATTCATATCAGTTCCAAAATGTCTGCAACTCATTAAAGCAGCTGCATTTTTCTATGTATCCCTGTGATGCATATTTTGTGCTTGTTTATTCATTCTAAAACAGCAAAATCCTGCAGCTAGGATTACTTTTTTCAATTGGTACAGACAATTCTGCATTTAAAATGGTCTACTGTAACAGGGACACAATGGCTCAGTAGTTAAGATGCTGAGCTTGTAGATTGAAAGGTCGGCAGTTCAGCGGTTCGAATCCCTAGTGTCGCGTAATGGGGTGAGCTCTTGTTACTTGTCCCAGCTTCTGCCAACCTAGCAGTTCGAAAGCAGGTAAAAAATGCCAAATAGAAAAATAGGGACCACCTTTGGTGGGAAGGTAACAGCATTCCGTGCACCTTTGGCATTTAGTCATGCCTGCCACATGACCATGGGGACATCTTCGGACAGCGCTGGCTCTTCAGCTTTGAAATGGAGATGAGCACCGCCCCCTAGAATCTGGAATGACTAGCACATATGTGCAAGGGGAACCTTTACCTTTACTGTAATTTACATAGCTGACTACAAGGACTTTCATAAAATAAATAAGACTTTAAGACACCATTCTCAAATCAAATCTTAAGCTCTGAACAGCCTAGAAATAATATTCAGGCCTCCTCCCTCTAATACATTATAGCAGCAATGAATATGGTTTCCAAAATCTCTGAAATTTAACATCAGAACACCCTTTGAGATCAGCTGCAGCCAATCAGAAAGGTCTATGCAGTGTTTCTACTCATGAGGAGATCAACTTTTTAGTTCTATCAAGAGAAGGTTAAAAAGACGTGCTTTTCTTTTCAGAATCAGAAGGGGGACACTACATATCCCAAGAAGGAATTTTAAGTCCAAAGATCTAAATCCCAAGGATTTAGGATTCTCCTCATGATGTGTTCATGAGAAAATTACTTTTCAGAGAGTTCCATATCCTCTGTGGAGGTGTTTTCTGGAGAGACATGTCTAGTATACTATGAGGTCCACATTACATTCAGGGGATTATGTGTGGCATTTCATTTAAACAGTTTAGCACCAGCACTTACATTAGAAGCCAGTTGTCATCATATGAAAATATTCAGTTTTTAAACCAATTTCAGAAGTTTTCTGACACTATTAATTTATTCAAAGTAATGCTCCCCCTGGAGATACGGAGGATCCCGGATCTGCGCACCTTCCGCCGCGCTTTAAAGACCTTATTATTTCACCAGGCGGGCCTGGCCTAATCTTCTCCCTTTTTTATAAAAGATTTTTAATTTTTAAATATCTTTTAGTATTTTATATATTCAATTTTAAAATTGGTTTTAAATAGTTTGGGGTTTTAATTTGTCTGGGCCAAAATTATTTAATTTGATTTTGATTCTACTTTTAAATTTTGTATGTATGTGTTTTACTGTTTGGCTGTTTGGCTGTGCACCGCCCTGAGTCCTTCGGGAGTAGGGCAGTATAGAAATCAAATCAAATCAAATCAAATCAAATCAAATCAAATCAAATCAAATCAAATCAAATAAATAAATAAATAAATAAATAAATAAATAAATTCAAAGTAATGCAGATGATGAGAAACATTAAGTTTTTGACTATTGCATTCAGGCGGTAATGTTTGCAAGATAATATTTATAGTTACTTTTAAATACCAAACCCTTCTATTTGATCATACTTTTTTTTAGTTTTTCTTTCTGCTGGTCATTTAAATTATTCCTTATGGCTTGGCAAATGATTAGAACTATCTGAATAGAACCTTTCATGTATGTACATGTAACTGTTAACCCTTCTCCATGAGAGAATGGTTAAAAATGTCATCTTCTACTGCAACCAAAAATAGGAATTATCATGTGAGGTTCTAGAGTAGGGGTCCCCAAACTTGGCGACTTTAAGACTTGTGGACTTCAACTCCCAGAATTCCCCAGCCAGCATGGGAGTTGAAGTCCACAAGTCTTAAAGTCGCCAAATTTGGAGATTCCTGTTCTATAGTCAATGCATGCTGGTGCTTATATAGATCAGTCTTAAATAGATTGTCTTCATTATGGTAGTGATAGGGAACAAATCCCATCCCAAAAGACTCAGACAGGAAGGACTGAAAGGAATCTGATCTGTCAATCTAGGTAGGGGGAAAGGCCATAAGAGCCTGGGAAAATCAAAAGTCTGAAGAATTGATTGGGATCAGGAAAAAAAAAAATCTTCTCAGGTGGGCATTCAAAAGAGAATGTGAAAAACTCAATGTTGTTTTTGTTTGTTGTATTCCATCCTGAGGAGGGAGATACCTTGTATTAATTGGCAAGTTAGAAAAATGACTCAAACCAGAGAAGGTTTGAAGAATCAGGCGGAAGTAGACCTGTAGGGGAAGGTGGACCTAGATGTGGATTAGGTTCCTTTCCTTTGATTTGATTCCAGCATTGCATGTGGTTCAGAGTTATTGCTTGTGTTACCGATTAAATATGTTTTTTCTTCTTCTCCCCAATCTCCAATTTTCATTGCAGCTCTTTCTTTTATGCTTTCCTGAATCTTCTGATTAGTGCCTTCGTGGTTTTTGTCATCTTTATTGCCAGCACTATTGTGACTGTTGGGTTTAACATGTGGTGTGATGCTATTACTGAAAAAGGAAGCATGCCGAATAGGTGAGTATTGAACATGATACATTGGTGTAGAGAAATGGAAAATAGCACATAGGTATATGCAGGTAACAAAACAAGGAAAGCAAGTAAGGAACTTTATAATTTGGAGCTTTATTAAAGCAAGACTAGTTACATAAGAGATTTAGCCTCTGTCATCATGTTCTTAGGGTCCAGGGTTCCTATTACATAGAAAAGGGTTACACAATTCTTTTTCAGTTGATGGCTATAATTAAAAATAAATTATTTGTCTTCCATGATTCACAAAGTATGGTGGAACCAAAGCTGAGGAGACCTACTGCATGTAGCTAAAATATTAGAGTACCTATATCCAGCTAAAATGTAGAATTTACTACATCATATTTTATGATTGTGTGCCCTTTTGTTAGCTTTTAGAAAAAATGGTATAAATGATGGTAGTATATAAATAAGTGATTGAATTATGAATTACATATAATTTTCAGAACTTGGAGTTCTGCACCCCAATATAGCCAAATTCCATATAAAAAATTGGAGATGTATTAGGGTTATGCAAAATTTTGAAGGGCTGCTTTGTTTTTAATGATACTTACTGCACAGTATGGTATAGAATAGAATAGAACAGAACAGAACAGAACAGAACAGAACAGAACAGAACAGAACAGAATAGAATAGAATAGAATAACAGAGTTGGAAGGGACCTTGGAGGTTTTCTAGTCCAACCCCCTGCTTAGGCAGAAAACCCTACACCTCTTCAGACAAGTGTTTATCCAATCTCTTCTTAAAAACTTCCAATGTTGAAGCAACTTCTGGAGGCAAGTTGTTCCACTGATTAATTGTTCTAACCAGGGGTGAAATGCTCCCGGTTCGGACTGGCTCGGGCGAGTAGGTAGCGATGGCGGCGGGCAGTTCGGAGAACCGGTAGCAAAAATCCCTGCCCCCACCCCTGATGCCCAGCTGAGCCGTGCGATCATCAGAGGCTTTTTTTCTTTTAAATGCCTCTGTCGAGCCAAGCTCTGATGATCCAAGCTCTGGCGATCCCAGCTGAGTTCAGGCAACTCAGCTGGGATCGTCAGAGCCATTTAAAAGAAAAAAAAGTTTTTTTCTTTTAAATGGCTCTGACGATCCAAGCTCTGATGATCCCAGCTGAGTTGCCTGATCGGCAGAGGGTTTTTAAAAAGCATTTTTTTTACATGGTTTTACATGTAAAAAATGGTTATAAAAGTCACATTACCCCCACCACCACCACCAAGCCACGCCCACAGAACCGGTAGTAACAAATTTTAGATTTCACCACTGGTTCGAACTGTCAGGAAATTTCTCCTTAGTTCTAAATTGCTTCTCTCCTTGATTAGTTTCCACCCATTGCTTCTTGTCCTAACCTTAGCTGTTTTGGAGAATAGCTTGACTCCCTCTTCTTTGTGGCAGTCCCTGAGGTATTGGAACACTGCTATCATGTCACCCCTAGTCCTTCTTTTCATCAAACTTTTCATCAATGCCCAGTTCCTGCAACCGTTCTTCATATGTTTTAGCCTCCAGTCCCCTAATCATCTTTGTTGCTCTTCTCTGCACTCTTTCTAGTGTCTCAATATCTTTTTTACATCGTGGCAACCAAAACTGGATGCAGTATTCCAAGTGTGGCCTTACCAAGGCATTATAAAGTGGTATTAACACTTCACGTGATCTTGATTCTGTCCTTCTGTTTATGCAGCCTAGAACTGTGTTTGAAGCTGCTTTGCCATGCAGCATAGCTCCTTGGTTCTGAGGAGCAAAGCAACTGCTTTGCATTGCTTCAGGGCACTCCACCCCAACAGCTAAAGGAGGATACCCATGTATTCACAGAGTTCACTTCCAGTGTGCTACCAAAGCAATAGAGAGCGGTTTGATATAATGAGTCTTATGTTTGTGACACATGGGGAATAGCATCATCCCTATTGAAGTACTACATTGAATGGCTGCCTGGCACAAGCCTAATATGCATAAAATCATTTGCTTGAGATGGGCAGCTGTAGAAATCAAATAAATCAATAAGAAAATTTGATAACTGTATAAATAAAAAGACCTCAGCATATCTTTCTGGAAAATCTTGGAGTGTGAAGTCATTGTACTCCAGAATGATAAAAGTTTTTCTTGCCATATTTAGAACACTGCAAATTATATGTAGCTGAAATCCGCTAGTTTCTTCTGAAATCTCAAAATGAATATAAGAACTTGAGAGATGAATACGGCCTTATGGTGAACAAAAATATTCACTGGGACTGCACTGAGTTAAGCTAAATGTATTCAGTTCTTTACACGACTGAATTGGCCTCAGGGAATTTCTACTGAAATCAGATGTGTGTAAAGTTCCATACTGCGCATTAAGTATATTCATATTAAATAAATATAGTCAATCACTATGGGATTAATTTGGAAAAGAGTATAAAATGATTAAATGACTGTGTGTGATTTAATAGAAATCTTGTGAATAATAAATACAGTATGTAGTGAGATTTTATGTCTTATAATGATTAAAGCACTGATTTTACATTTTGCTTTGCCATAAGTTGTATATGCCATTAGTGAATGTTTTATTTAGGACTGCCATGATTATTTGAATATTTAGCTAAAATATTCTCTCAGGTTTTTTTTTTTAAATCTAACAAGCTAATCAAATATTTAGATAAGCCTACAAGGTGATTGATAAGAAAGAGAGATGACTTCGGGAATCTCAAACCCTATGATTTGCCAAGTAAAAATCCAAGATACTTATTAAAAATGAAAACAGAAAGCCATCTATATGCAGACTTTATTTTTGATTGAATTTTGCCAGGATCATTGGAAATAAAACATGCAAATATTAACTTCTTCTGAAGATCAACAGCTTCTTTTCATCATGGTTGAAAGTCCCTGGCATGATGCCAAAGAGGGCGTTTTCATATGGGTGGGATGATTGGAGAGATAATACAAAGGACTTGTGTATGGATTTTAAATTTAGAATCTGGAGACTTTTTTTGTTGATGCAATACATATAAACATGATATACTTATGTTTTTGGAAACAAGGCTTGTGTGGCTTTTAAATTGTACAGTACTTAGAAATCCTAGGCCCTTATAAAAATCAGCTATGGAGAATATTGGAGGGTAGAGGTAAAGTTTCTGTGTTGTATAGTATGTGGCCAATGAAATAGTATGCATTGACTTGGAAAAGTCAAAAACTACAACATGGATCATGACCCCAACCCTGTCCTTCTGCACTTCCCTCCAATAGATATCCATGCACAGACCAATGATATAATATCCTGTGTTGGGTGGTAATGTCATTGATGGGCTATCATGAACCAGCATCCCTGCAATGCCAAAATAGTAGAGAGAAAATAGTAGCTGCAGCTGATAGGATTATTAAAATTTATTTCTGACATAGCAATGAGCATTTGGTTCATTGTTGTCTCTACTGACTGGCAGCAATTTCCAAAGTCCCAGATCAAGGCTGTTTTTCACCCTGAGATTTTTCTGTGCAAATCACTTGGCCACTGAGGCTTGACCTCTCAGTACAGTTTGTACATAATCTCTTAAATAAATGCTTCAATTATAGGAAGACTATAATGGATCCTGTGCACTGAAAATGCAATATATTATTTCTGGAAATATCTTATTCTTTTATTGATTTAACAATGCCTAATTATAATTAGGTAGATTACCAATTGGTGCATTATTAGCAGTCCTTGATCTGGTGGTCTTGTTAATTTTGCCCATTCCTGACAAGTTTCTGTAAAAAATAAGTTTTATTTGAACTTATTTACTCAGTTTATTTATTATAATTATACAATATTATAAACCTATGGCACATGTGCCACATGTGGCACATGGAGCCATATTAGTGGGCACATGAGTATTGCCCTAGCTCAGCTCTGGCGCGCATGCGCACACAGGCCAGCTAATTTTCGGGCCTTCCGGGCCCACCAGAAGTCGGGAAACAGGCTGTTTTCGGCCTCTGGAGGGCCTCCGTGTGTGTGTGGGGGGGAGGGGAAGGCACATTTTTTTGCTCTCCCCAGGCTCCAGAGCCTTTCTAGGAGCCTGGTAGGCCCAGGGAAGTTGGCAAATGGGCCATTTCCGGCCTCTGGAGGACCTCCAGGGAGGATGGGGAAGGCCATGTTCGCTTCCCCCAGGTTCCAAGAAAGCCTCTGGAGCCTGGGGAGGGCGAAAAACAGGCCTACCAGGCCCACCATGCCATGCGGGGGGGGGTCATGCACACATGCGTGGGGGGGTCACACATGGGGGGTTAGGGGGCATTGAATTATGGGTGGGGGCACGCACGCACGTGACCCCTCCACGCTCTTCCCACTTTTGGCACATGATGGCAAAAAGGTTAGTCATCACTGTTTTATACTTACTCTTTGCTGAATTTCTCCTATAGAGGAACATTCATATGAAGAAGAACCTTAAAAGGCATCTTGCAGGTTTACAGCGAAGTTTCATCTAGTCTTTCATTGTGCCTGAGACAATGAAAGATTAGTCACCAGATGAAACTGTTCCAGATGACCACATTAGAATTTTTGCACAGAAACAGGGAATTAACAAAACAGAAAGTTCTGAACAAGGTTTTCCTTCCATGGTTTATATGCAGTGACAGGCTGCTGTGCCACTGAGTCTTCAAAAAAATAATAATTCCCATAATATGAGTCTTTTGCAACGGCTTAACTGGCTATGTGACCCCTTTTTAAAGAACATATAAGGAGAGGTCCTGGCAAAGTAAGAATGTAGTTTGAGATGACACCAATTCAGCTGAAAACCTTCATCAGCTTGTCTCGTTTTATAATCTTCAGGAAAGTGGCCAGAATGGGAATAGTTGACAAAATGTTGGAGAAGACATTGACATGTTGACCTTTTTCTCTATTATTTCTTGTCTGCAATAAAACTACAATGAGTTATGACTGGTTCATGAAACACTTGAGAGAGATTGTAATACAAAAGTTTATCTGTGTTTCAAAGACAGCCACAAGATTGTGTGATAATAGGACATATCATCAGTTGTCATGTACTTCGTGAATGTGGTATGCGTGTTTGACAGAGAAGCAGTGTATGCGAGAGTGATTTAGCGAGTTAGTGATATAGAGGATGGATTCTATGAAAGATAATTTATAACTATTGAATTACTTTTCCTTCCCTTCTCTTTCATCCAAAATGCCTTCTCCTTTTAGTTGTGAAGAATTACAAGATATAGATCTTGAGCTGAATTTAGAAAACTCATCATTCTATGACCAGTTTGCCATCACACAGGTAAGTTAAGCCTTTTTGTTCACAGAACTTTGGAGAGACTTCAAATGTCATGAAATGTCCTCTGCATACTAAAATAGCACCATCCTTACTTAATGCTATTTAGAATCAGTTCACAAATGTTACACTCGGCATTGTTTCAATCTGCACTGGATGATTTGCATTGTATTTCATCTGAAACAACATTTCTGTCTGTAATCATAGATCTGACATGGTTCATTCACATAAACTAGTTGAGCTTGAGCATATCCAAAGTTGAATTAAGATGGAAAAAATGGTAGAAGCCAAATTCTGGGAGAGATGGTTGGACATTATGCAGAAGAGAAAATTAAGGGACAGATGTTATTACCATCTGTCAACTTTGGAAGATGGAACACATTAGAGCTTTATTACTTTGGAGAAGACAATTGGAACCAATGGATAGAAATTGTAAGGAAGCTAATTTTGACTAAATACTGAGAGAAGCTTCCTAACAATGAGCAATTTAACAGTGGAACTTGGAAGATGATGGCCTCTACTTCATTACATATATTGAAGAAGAAGCTGCGTAGATATCCAGCAGCTGTAGTTGCAGGCTCTATGTTAAACAGAGAATTGGAATTGATAATCTCTAATTAGTTTTCCAGCTCTGTGATTCTGTGAATTTTGTAGTCATGAAATTATGGAAATGCCTATTTTAGCTCACCCTAAGATGATAGCATAGTTATTTTTATTTGGAAGCTGCACACCCAGACATAAATATGGTAAGAATAAATCTTCAAGAAAAAGACAAGTTTCTATTTATTTGCACCCCTAGTCTCTTACAAGGAATACTGTTATGTGTATTGGTTCTTAGATGACATTCTTGAGATTTATAGGAAAGGCAAGATTGTGATGGAGCACAAAGGACTAAACTAAGAAATATAAAGGCTGAATATGTGATATCAACCTGGACTGGATTCCTTTTAGTAATGTAAGAGATGGGCCGCTGTTCTCTGAGATGTTATAGAAAGTGGGTCATTCAGAAAGTTGGAATAGAACTTGATGGCTACATACAGTAATTTTCAGATGTTTCATTAACTGTAGTCAAGCATAATATAGAGAATTCTAGAGGCATATCCTGGTAATACTCAATGACTATACCTCACAGGCCTCACTATTGCTCTTCATCAGTTGACTGTATTATTTAAAATGTATATATCAATTTTCTATAGTTGCAGTTGAACTGCAAGCATGATAAAAATGCATGGGTATTGTTTGGATACTTTAAAAGCTTTGCTTTCAATATAATAATTATCTATAAATATCTAATTGAACATTTGCTGAAAAATTCATTCTCATACAATTTTGAGATCTCTGGGGTTAGGAAAATAGACTTACTGTAATGCAATTTTTAAGATGTTACAGATTTTTTTTTAAAAAAAATCTAGAGTCAAAACTCACATTAATGTTGTTTGTTTGAATTAAGCGTAACATATTGTATCAACTCAGCCATTAGTTTTGATAAATTGTAGGCTATGGATATGTGAATAGAGAAAATCTTCAACATTAACTATTATTCGGCCGAAGACTCTTGGGGAAAATGTACTGATTACACATTGTATTAGATTCACTTTCCCCAATATGGTGATCTACAGGTATTTTGGGACTGTAATTCCAATAATTTAGGGATTGTAGGAGTTAACAGTTTTAGAGGGTATAGTTTTTGGAAAGGTATACATTTATATATTTAAAGTATTCTCATCATCTCTTTCTCTTTTTGTTTCTAGTTTGGCCTCTGGGCTGCCTGGCTGACTTGGTTAGGAATTACAATATTGGCCTTTTTGAAGGTTTATCATAATTATCGGCAGGAGGACCTCTTGGATAGCCTGATTCATGAGAAGGAATTTTTGTTGGGACGATCTTCATCACGAACTTCTTTTCAGGAAGAGAAAAGTGGCATAATCTAATATCTAATAAACCTCACTGCATAGCAGGTTGTAGATTGTATATTATGGGCCTTAGCTGGAGGTAAAGATAGAAATTGAATTGGCATGCCTAGAAAACCTTTAAGGAGAAAAATGGAACCTGGAATTTAGCATTCTGTTAAATAGATATTGTCCATAGAATATCCCTGTTCAAATATAACTATAGCTCTCACAGTTACCTGAATCACAATTTATGCTTCCTTTAATTGTTCAGCGCTTTGTGATTTTTCAACCATGTGTGCAAGTTCTTTCTATTGAATAACCAGTGATATCAAATCAATTTCTCAGGATTAATTTAGGAAAACTAATTCACACGGGCAAACAATGATATGATGCTGCAAGTAGATATGTCATATATGCTTAAACTAAGTATTGGACTGCCATTTGTGTAGATTTGTTTACTTACCTAAAGTTGCCATTCCTGTGAGTTTTTTTTAGATGTTTGAAGACATAATTTTGATCCATCTGCTTAGCTGAACTCCACTTTCTTTCAGAAATGACGTTCTGCATGATATGAACAATCCACATTGATATCTAATCATGTATTTATCCAAATGATGTGACTTTTCCTCTTAAAGTAGGGTGGAAATGGAAGTCAATGATTGGGTATCTATTAAATATAATGTTGAAAGGAGGGATTTTATGTTTCCATGATATAGCTAAAATCCATGGAATAGGTAAAATCCATGGGAATTTACACACTCATGTTAAGTATATACCTCAGTAGGAGTTGGCCATATGGCTTGGACAAAATTATTTGTGGCCACTGGTGCTCTCTCTCTCTCTCTCTCTCTCTCTCTCTCTCTCTCTCTCTCTCTCTCTCTCTCTCCCTCCCTCCCTCCCTCCCTCTCTCTCTCTCTCTCTCTCTCTCTCTCTCTCTCTCTCTCTCTCTCTCTTTCCATAATTTCAATGAATAAGCCTTAGATGTTGTCTTTTGGCTTCTATGACAAAATCTTAATTAAGAAAAACAAGATAAATGAACACTTATTTTTTTAACACAGCTATGTGCCAAACCGTATATATCTGATGCATGTGGAGCGGGTGGGGGGAGCTTCTGCTGATGTAGTCTGAAACCATATGTATGATTTAGCTTCCATCAATTGACACCACAATTATGAGAACAATAGCAATTGTGGTTCAGTATTGAAAATATGGCACTTAATGATTTTAGCCCATTAAGTATAGCACTTAATGATATTAATATTTCAATTGTGCATTGGAACACTGAAACTATTCAAGCATACTATTAGCTGCTTATCATGTGACTCAAAAGTTCTAGTCTTCTACAGATAATATTATCTTGATTATTTAAGGTTAAACTGAAACAATATTATCTTGGTTATTTAAGGTTAAACCGAAAATATTTCAGAATCGGCATCTAAAAATGTGATGTCGCAGATTTGCCAGTTAATTTGTTACACTTATTTGTTACACTTATTTATTATTTAACGCAACATTTCCAATGCTTCTGAATATGCAGCAGCAATGGTCTGTGTGAAGTTGCAGATTTGAATTTTGCCTTTTTTTAGTTTCAAGTTTCATTTTGAAGAGTTGACAAACAATGTCCTGCTGGTACATGTTCTTATATTATTATAATGAGGTAGACGACTTGCTGTAAGGAATAATCCTAGTATACTCTCCAGATCTCCTCAAGGAATTGCAGACTGCACTCTTGCTTAGCTTCAACTTTGAGGTTGGCACGGGAAAGATATTATTATTGCTTAGTAAAATATAGTGACAATATATATAGTGATAGTTGACAACATCTCTTGTAAGCAATTAATATATCTTGCTTGCTTCTTCATATATGGAACTAGCATTTATGCTATAAATTGTTAATTATATATTCCACTGTACTAGTGTTCATTTTTGATGTTGCTATCTTAAATCTGTGCGTGTAATATACAGTATTGAGTGCAACTACCCAGATCTATAAAATAAGCATCTAAATTATTGGGCAGTTGCTTCCTGGTTGAATTAGAAGAATTTCTTTTAATTAAACTACTGTGGTAGCAATCCAGGGCATATCTTTTTCAACACCATTTTCAAAACCTGTACAGGCATAATACTCTTCCATGGTTAGTGTTATATTTTGCAGTATAAACCCTGACCAAGTCATCTTTCTAATATAACTTGAAAAATAAATTGTGCCCTTGAAAGGGATCCTATGGAATTTACATAGAATTTACATGGAATTTAAAAGCAGAGGCAAGAAAATTATACTATAGCTTGAAGTGAATTATAATTTTACATAAAAGTTGGTGCAATGTTCCCATGTTCCAAGAGGCAAAACAATTTAGTCTGCATTATCGATGGATAGTTACAGCTATTTTTTGACAAATAAGAATCAATTTGTGGAGTAATTCATCAGCTTATTCTGGTATCTCTTTGAAGTTACTTATTTGATAATCTGAATGTCAGTCCCAAAGGTATTTTTATTTTAAAAAACAAAACATTTTCAATGGGGCTCTCTTCCAAGGAATTATAAGTAGGGATTTTAACTACTTAGTTCCAAAGCTTTAATGAGAGTAATAATACAATAAACCTGCTTTTTTCCTACACCTTTAATAAATGTAGTCTTACACAGTGATGCTTTTATTATTTATTTCAAGATGAAATCAAAACCCTCTCATAATGCAGGAATTTATCTTGTTCTTGGCTTCTTAAAGCTTTAGAGTTTACTCCAACAAATTGAAGACTTTTAATGATGAATTAATATATTTGTTGCTTTTGTGTAACATAGGATCATTTCACATAGGTAGAGATAGTGCTGGCTGACAATTGTGGACCCATCACATCAGGATATTAGTCATTGGAGAAGACATGCGTTATCAATCTTCTTAATAGAAATGATTGCCAAGAGAAATACAGACTTGAGTGGTGGGATAATTTGTTTGATCTTCATGAGAATGGGCATATGTCTCTGGAGACACTTGTTCTTGGTCATTTTTGCAGTATTGCAGCTACATTGGATTGAGATGCTTCCCTTTTTTATAATGTTGCGGGGGTGACATTTCTTAAAAAATGAAATTGTTTTCTGAATCAATCATTGATGTTAATTTTATATTATATTATATTATATTATTATTATTATTTTTGTTTTACTGCACTTTGCTATTCAAATTCCATTTTGACTCTGAGGGCTTACAATCTTACCGCATAGTAGAAGGTTGGATTCTTGTCCTTACATTATAGTTGTTTTCCAAATGTCTTTTGAAAAAAATAGATTGGATGCTGCTCCGTGAATACATTTTCTGAGAAGTATCTTGTGAATAATCTTATATTATTTAATTTGAGAATTTAAAACAATGCCAGTGATCTCCATATGAAACAGTACAGTCAGTTATAATGGAACAATGCATGTGGTCAACCACACCTTCATAGCTATCCTAAAAATGTTTTGGTTAGCTAAGGATGGATTTTTGAAACAGAAACCACTCATTAATACAGAAAAATTAGATCTGAGCACCAATCATTAATCACTGAAATTGCCAAACTAATATTCTACTGCCTTGTCAGAATTTGACATTATTCCAAATTTTAACACCCATCTAGGTATAAGGTTAGGACAGAATAAAAAAATATAACCAAACGCTGCATAAGCGGAACTTTTCATCTCATCGATTTGTGTCCTCAAATTTGAATTCTGAGCTTCTAAACACATTAAAATGTACCAGGTCAACAGATGAAATTCAAAATAAAATAAAATGAAATTGAAAATATATCTTTTGCATTTGTTTTGTACTTTATGAAAGTGCATATACGTCTGGCTGATTTCCATTGTGTTTTGGAGTCTGTTTATTCAGGCATGAATAGCATGCAAATATTAGAATAATTTGAAATTTTAACAATACTGATGATGTTTATTTCTTTTAGAACTGTTTTTTTTTTTTACATGCAGCCAATTCTATATTGCAATGCTTCATGAATATCAAGCAAAGCTGAAATTTAAAGATCCATTACTTTTCTCATGTGAATGGCTGACCTATTTATGTTGGCTTTTGGGGGGGGGGTGGATTTAGGTGGCCTAGACAGCATTGTACTGTAGTGTTGTATACTCTTCTTGTTGTTGTTTAATGAATGTGTTTTATATCAACTGCTTTTGCTTCCCTTTGGAGAGCATACTGAGCTTCTGATACAGTGCCATGCATAAATAAATGGTCGTAAAATTTAGTGTATTTTGGCATGTTATTTCAGAAGAATTGAATAAGCATGTTTATAAATCAAATTATATTTTTCTCAAGATAGATTTTCTTCTCATCTTTAGAAGGAATCATAATTGGATTGTATTTATCAATTTTTAAGGCTGCTGCTGAGTTTGATATCTACCACTCTTTGAATATACTTCTTTTCCAAGCTGTGGTGCAAAATAACACAACAACAATATCTATCCCACCTAATTGGCTGTTGTGTTACATTTCTAGTTTTTTACTTTGGAACTAAAATACTTCCTTTAATATTTCTCCATTTCTGGTTTGATTTCTAGATCACCAAAATTATATTATTTTATGTGATATGGAAGGAGTGAATATGTATGTTATAAGATTTTAAATTATAACATTTTAAATCATGTTTGATGCTTAGCCTCCCCCTTGTTCCTTTATTTTGGAGTAGTATCACAGTGTTCATCAAAGATCTTTTAATGAAGATAAGGACAATTCATGATCAGAATCAACGTGATAACAGTCCAGTTTGACTGTATGAAAAATAACATTAATTAAAATGAACTTAGCACTGCTGGATTCATTGCTTAAATGTAATCAAGAAGCATCTGTCAAAATAAAAATGCTGCTAGCCTATATAACAAATTAAATTGATTTTAATTATTATGTTTATGAAAATAGTGTCTTTTACACATGCAGGCACATTGTGTCTATACATAAACAAAGAAAGTGTCTTAGAATCAATGCTTTTCCTTGAATTTTTTTTGTTTTACCCTATTCTATAGGAGCTTTCAGAAGGAAAATTAGCCAAGACAAAAACAACTAAAGAGGATACAAAATGAAATAGCCTAACTAGTGGGCCCCCTTTCCTTTTTAATGGCTTCAAACTCTTCCAATTTCATTCATTCAGAAAGATGTGACAAACAGGATCAACCATTCCAGGGCTATTTTCAGAGATTTTAGGAGCTTTTTACTATCCCTATAATAAAATCACCACCACCATCATTGGGGGATTGAGAGAAAAGTAGATAAAGATAAAACTTGGCAATGGTTTACAACTGGAACATTAAAAAGCTAATTAGCATTAAAATTTAATTAACATTAAAAAATTAAAAAGTGAATACTGAGATAATATAATAAAAACACGAACAGAATACTGGCAGGAAAAATCATTACATGATCAACATCTGCAACAGATCGAGGGGAAAGTGGATAAAGATAAAACCTGGCAATTGTTTACAACTGGAACATTAGAAAAGAAACTGAAGGCTTGTTTGCATTAGTTTTTGAAGCGCAAGCCATTCAAACTAAGGCAATCAGGCCAGAATTGAAAAAATAATGATTCAAAGTGCAGATTCTGCAAAGAAGCACAAAAAGAAGATCCCACCAACTGATCATAAATAATAACATAAATGAGTTGCCAAAATGATTCACTGGAGCATCTTTAAAAATTGTCATGAACCAGTAATGTAAAATTGGTGGAAACATATAGTTGAAAAAGTAGTAAAAAAAAAATAAGCACGTGAAAATATTGTGGAATTTTTGAATATAGACCGATAAAGTTTTGGCTCAAAGCATAACAGATATAACTGTTGTTGAAAAGAAGAAAGTGCAGAAAATTGATTTGGCAACCTCATGAGATAGAATAGAGGACAAAGAATTGGAGATTACATAGTTTTAGGATCTGAAAATTGAAATTGAAAGATTATGGCATAAACTGGCCATGGCGATCCTAATGATTATTGGCACTCTGGGTGTCATACCCCCCAAAAAATCTTGGATGGCACTTAGAAAATCTGAATATTGACAAAATTTCTACTTGTCATTTGCAAAAGGCCATATTGCTTGGATCCCACATGTACCGCAAAGTAGTATATGGCTAGTACTGTACGTAAGAAAACTAGCAGGAAAAACAACAAGATCTGGCAATGGCTAAGACCAGGATGGTTGAAGAAAGAGATAGAGGAGTGAATCCTGGCTGCATAAGACCAAGCCTAAAGAACAAATGCATACAAAGTCAGAATTGAATAGACGGCACAGATAGCAAGTGCTTTCTGCAAAGAAGCTGAAGAAACAGGGCAGCTGCTGCAAAGAAATCTCACAGACAAACAATAAGATGAGAAAGTAGCAACAGTGGTGCTTTGGTGTATCTACAAGAAATACCATTTGCCCAGAATCAAGAAATAGTCAAAGTAATAGAAAATGAAAAAAAGTTGTTGGACTTTAGAATTCAAACATCTGCCATGCAACATAATCAAGATGATTAGGGGACTGGAGGCTAAAACATACGATGAAGAAGTTTCAGGAACTGGGCATGGCTAGTCTAGTGAAGAGAAGGACCAGGGGAGACATGATAGCCATGTTCCAATACTTAAGGGGCTACCATAGAGAGGAGGGGGGCAACCTGTTTTCCAAAGCATCTGAAAGCCAGACAAGGAATAACAGATGGAAACTGAACAAGGAGAGATTAACCTGGAAATGAGAAATTTTCTGACAGTGAGAACAATCAACCAATGGAACAGCTTGCCTTCGGACGTTGTGGGAGCTTCATCACTGGAGGCTTTCAATATACTATAGAATTAGATAATTGGCAAAAATTATGGGAAAGAAATTACAAGTTAATGATGTCAGCAGCATACAAAGAAAACATGTACAAAATGTTTTATAGGTGGCACTTGCCACCAGCAAGAGTGGCAAAAATGTTCCCAAGTATGTCACAAGAGTGTTGGAAATGTAAACAGGTACCAGGATCCTACTATCATATGTGGTGGACCTGTCCAACGGCAAAAAAATATTGGTAAAAGATAAAAAGGTAGTTAGAAGAGATGACAGCACAACAAATAGATCTAAAACCAGAACTCTACTTATTAGGTATACTACCGGGGAAATACAATAAAAGAATCACATACTTAATGTTACATGTAATAACAGCAGCTAGAACCACATATCCACAAAATTGGAAAAACGAAAGCATACCTATAGACAAAAAGGTAATAAAATATTAGAATGCGCCAAATTGGTCAGGTTAACGATGGAACTTAAGATAAAGAGGAATCAGAGTATTACTTAACATGGGATTTATTGTACAAATGGTTAGATAACAGGTGCAGAGTTTAGTAACTTAATAACGAAAGAAGATTAACAAAATAGAAATAAATACAGTAGATATATATAAGAATACATATTGTAAGCAATAGTACTATTTGATGTACGTGACTATAGATTAAAATGTATAGAGTGGCAAATGTATAGTGTTATAGTACAATTATGAAAATAATGGTTATAACTATGACATACATTATGTATTTAAAAGAGAATATACTGTATGACTACAAGAATAATGGTTATAATCAGGGTGTATAATACTATGTATACTTAAAAAGGATTTGATACAGCCAGTACACTGTCGTTGCAAAACTGGAAATGTGATGTATTATAAAGAAAAATGTATAATAAAAATATTTTTTTAAAAATGCCAAATCCAGACTAAACATCTGGTTGACTGTGTGAACAACTTTAATAAAGGGTTTATTATTAATTATTATTATTATTATTAACCTTAATTATGAAGGGTTTGGAAGCTAATTTGGACCCCTTTAGCCGGAAATATCATATAAAATAAGGTGAATGATAAATTGTAAAGGTAACTGTTGGAGTTTCCAAATTTGCTTACCTATGTATGGTATCAGGTTGAAGAAGGTAGCATTAAAATAACATCTGGGTTCTATAGTTTTCTTTTATAATTTTCCTTGGATTTGCCTCATATCCTAGGGGAGAAAGAGCATAGCTCTGGTACTTTTCTTAGAATGGAAGTGATCGTATCATCTGGTTGGATGGATCTCTGTTGTTTTAGCATGGACAAAGTTGATATTAAGGCCTTTATGATTTAGTATAATCAAGCTATGTCTAGATACTTTCAACAAATCCATACTTCATGTTTAAATTCCAAAGGCTGCATGTTATCTCACTGCATTTGATTAATAAAGTATTTCTGATAGTCCCTTCTCTATGTGAAGTTCCTGGATATGGAGAAAATGGCAGTGTCAAAATCCATCTTGAGTATTCAAATAAGCCCCTGTATAGTATGGAAACCCCCACCTCTGAAGACCAGAGTAGCACTGTCACTTTATCTTCAGAAAGATTGCTAAAATTTCCCTATTTTATAAGATATTGAGCTCCACTTGATTATTGATTACAACCAATCACCAGAATTATATAATTTATTTTAAGTAGTAGTGTCTGTTATGCCATTTTTGTTTCGTTATTACTTTGCATATAGAATCACACAATTGGGGCAATTAACAATGGATATATAAATAAATATAAATAAATAAAATATACATAAATAAAAAATACCTTTCAAGTTACGTTTCATAATAATAAACAGACTTCCCTTTTGATGTGGAGAAACATTGGATCATATTTTTATTATAATCTAAAACAAAAAGTATTTTGCACTGTATTAAATTACAGAATACTTAGTATATTCATGATAAGATATACATAGTATACCACTTTTAGAAAAAAATGGTTCAATGATTGTTTTAGAAAGAGTGTTTGTAAATATACCATTAAGCTATAGCAGCATTTCTATCAGTTTAATGTTTAGATTCTCCATATTCTGACTTCTGACTTCCCATAATTTAATGATAGACTAGATAATTAAAAACAATAAAATGGATAAAATGTATTATAAATACAAACCACCTTGTCTACTTATGGCCAAAAATATAATCTGCATAAGAAGAAGCAATTCCCAGTTCAGTTTTACAGGTAATCCTTGATTTATGACCACAATCGAACCCAACACTTCCACTGCTATGCAGGACAGTAGTTAAGTGAGTTGCACCCCATTTTACAACCTTTTTTGCCATAGTTGTTAAGCAAATCACTGGACTTGTTGAGTGAATCATGCAGTCATTAAATGCTTTCACCATTGACCTTGCTTGTTGGAAACTGACTGGGAAGGTCACAAATGGTTATCACATGACTCTGGGACAGTGCAACCTGCCATGCCAGTTGCCAAGTGCCCAAATATTGATCATGTGACAACAGGGACGCCGCAATGGTTGTAAGTGTGAAGACCAGTTGTAAGTCACTTTTCCCCCTAGTGCCACTATAATTTCAAATAGTCACTAACCAAATGGTGGTAAGTTGAGGACATAGCATCTCATATACGGCATCTGGTTGTCAGAAAACACAAAAAATTGAGCTGTGTTTAGACATTCCAGGTCTGAAGGAAGAGCTGATAATTCCAAGGAAAAAATGTTTTATTATATTCACCTTTCCATGTTTATGTCCATACATCATTCTGTAGATGATGTTCAACATTTGTTTCCACATTTAGCAGTCACAAAGAAGCTATTTGTGTGTTGTCTAGTTTGAGAATTCTTATTTTTAAAGAAATTGACTGGCAATACTTTGCTATTTTGTTTGTAATGCCCACACATCCCCAAGATTATTCTCAGTATGTTAATTATCTTAAAACAATGGGCTCTAATTGCTACCAAGATGGCTGATAGATGATAATTGCAGTCTGAAAACAAACTTTTATTCTACCATATGACAATGCTTTGTCCTGTTTAGTTTTCCTAAAAGCATTTTCCCCTCACTCCAGAGTTCTTCAGATGTTAATCTAAAATAAACCAGCTGTCGCTTCTAGCCTTATGGGCCTATTGCCTCAAAAACCAAGTCCAACATTTCAAAGCAATACGTCTGATCAGAAGAAGGATTGTAACAAGGTGGGAGTGAAATTCTTCCAGGACTTTGAAATCTTGTTTCCTGCTGTTGTAGTATAGACTTGCGGCTAACAGCATCACGACACAGAAGGAAAGGCCCAGGAACAAAGGTAAGATCCTGATTGTCTGCTTGTGAGCTGGGGTGTTGCAAAAGAAACAGAGAAACGGATTAGCTTACTCCTTTAAATTTTGAATTCCTTATCACATTAAAACCTTTTTGCACTTAGTAAAAATCTTGAAGAACTTGAGAAGGAGTATGGGTTTCTCTGAGCATTTGTGAAGAGGTGTCTATTGTTCTTCCAACTCAAGAATTTTCACCATCTCCTGCTCCTGTGTTTTTTTGGCTTTTTTAAGATTGCTGCTCAACAACCTATATTGTCTTTCATAGCACCCTGGGACCTGTCTTATTGTAATTACTACTGTCTTACTGTAATTACTTACTGTCTTACTGTAATTCAGCCTGATAGACTGTAACCTTGCCTCAACAGCAATGCATTGCAGATTGGAGTACTGCATATGTGGGGCTGCTCTTAGGACAATTTGGAGCCCAACCAAATACCGTATTTTTCAGAGTATAAAATGCTCTGGACTATAAGATGCACCTACCTTTTTTGGTGAGGAAAACAAGAAAAAGAAATCTGCCTCTGCCGCCCAGCAATTTTGCCTCGTTGCAGCAAACAGCAAATAGCCTGCTTTACTTTCATTTTCGTTTCTAGCATAGCTTGATTAGCACAAGAAAAAAAACCCTGCTCCCAGCAATTTACCTCCTTGCAGCAAGCAGCAGAGGCCTGCACAGAAATAGATAATGGCAATCCCTGCATCCTGAAACAGCTGCGAGTCGGGAGGCCGATCCAAGGGACAATCAACTTGTGCTAATTAGGCTGTGCTGAAACTGAAATGGACTGTTTCTTCTTGCTTGTTGCAAGAAGGATTGCTGGGAGGCAGAGGCCAAAGGGTGGGGGCCAGTGGGTGGGCGGGGCTACATTTGGTGTATAAGACGCACCCAAATTTTCACCCCTTTTAGGAGGGGGGGGAAAGGTGCATCTTATACTCCGAAAAATATGGTAACCTGTGGAACTGGCATTTGGATATTATGACCCCTATTGGTTTGATTACCTATTTAGTCCTGAAACCTATTTAAGGAACCCCATTGCCAAATGATTATTCATTCTTGGTATATATGATAAAGGGAAGCTATTATGTCTATTAAATTAATCAATACAGAAAAATGCGCGTACTGTTCACCTGTTGCCTCTGCCTTTTTTTCCTGTTTCCTCTTGTAATGCATTGATTGAGTTGCTGGTCCTCATCTTACAACTGTAATTGAGTCCAGAATTATGGTTATAATTCATGGAGGTTATTAGGTATAAAATCACACCGATTTAATAATCTTTTTTGCAGCTGTTGTTAAGCAAATGCTGTGGTCATTAAGTGATCTGTTTTATTCAATGGGCTTTTTTTTTTTTTTGCTGGAAACTAGAAGTTAATACTGGAAATTAGCAAAAAATGCTAAAAATTCTGGTCATATGACTACAGGATATTGCAAATGGTCACAAAACTAACCGGGTGCTAAGTGCCCAAAATACAATCATGTGGCCATGGGGTTGTATATGTGGCCATCAGAATTTTGGAACAGGATTGTAAGTAGCTCTACGGAGGTCTGTTGTAACTTCAAAGTTGCTAAGTGACTAGTCAGTGACTATCTGACACTATACATTTCACAGAGCAGCGCTCCACCTATTTGTACTGTCTATTTATACTTCATAAAGTACCTGATAAATAATTTTCACGTTTATGTATTTCTTAGTTTTTGGTATGTGGGTTCCATTTTGGACTTTAATGGTGGGATCAGACAAAGATACATTTGTTTTAATATGATTTTAATTTTAGTTTTGTTAAAATTGCAGTACAGTGTTACAATTACTCTCCATTCAATAATCTTTCCTTAAATACTGAAAAATTTGAAGAAACCTTGGCAGCTTTCTAGAGTAATGCTCAAAATATTGGTGAGGCTTGAAGCCATAACTGAGGAATCTCATTTTTTGTTTTAAGGTATAAACCTGTATTTTATATAAAAAACAACAACCCTAAGCTTTAAAAAATAGGGTTAAAATCTTTATTGCTTCCATTCCCAATTAAATAATGTAGGCAATTCTTTTCTAGAATTGTTTTTATTGTCATTTTTATGCAGGTTTTTCTCCAGGAAGCTCAGAATAGCTTGAAGAGTCCCCTTCTCTCTCTTGGTTTGTGGTTTATCATATCTTTGTGAGGTAAAGTGGAAAGGTAGAAATATAATGAAACCCAGAACGGAATGAGGATTTGCGCAAAGATTTCAGCAAAGCATTTCACAGCACTTTGGCTAAGTTTAATAAAAGTTCAGCAGGACTTGTGAGTACCTGAGTGAGACAATATCATGAAATCTGAGAGATATTGGCTAGATTGGAAAGTTGAAAGAAATCCCCCCCTTTTTTTCCCCATGTAATGCTCAGGAACTGAACTCAGCTTACTGAAATCTTTGCCTCTAATGCTATTCAGCACCTGGATTGCTGCACCCTACTAGGCTCACCCTAACTCGGCCATCTTGATACTCATAATATATATCTATTTGAAACTGAAGAAGAAATACAACTGTCAGAAGTTCAGGGTTCAGAACCGATCCAGGTCATGCAAGGAACGCACAGGGCAAGTTGCTTGGACCAGAAGCATCGTTAATTTGAGAGCTTACACCAAGTTACAGTTCCCAAATGTTTACCTTTATATCTTTGCTTTGTTCCTCCCAGAACAGAGCCCATCCACTAGGAATTACTGGAAACTATAATTTGCTGACCAATAAGGCTGCTTGTTGATTAGGCAACCTGCTGAACTTTTGGGATTTTCACATATCAGCTGGTTTCTTGCTTAATTTACATTGCAACTCAAGGTAGCAGTCACATTAATAGGTGTAATATTTGGCATCCTTACCACCTTTGGCCACTTTTCACCTCTTTGTTGTGTTCCTTATCTTTTGTTTCAGTGTAATTTGAGGTGAAATCGGAGCAAGGAAAGTGCAGGTTGGCTATACAGATATAGGTTGAATGTGAGGCTATAAGTACCTTATTTATATAGGTTGAATGTGAGATTATAAGTACCGTATCACTTAACAATTGCAATTTGTTAAATCTCCATGATGTTAAAAGGCATAATAAGTTCACAGTACCTCATGTCTTTCAATAAAAATTGTTACCTAATCTAAAAAGGTGGTGTCAAACTCCTCCTGATTTTTGTATCCTATATGAGGACAAATAGGTTGATGGTGGTGAGCCTTATACTAAATCATTTAAGAACTGAATTACCACAATGGGGAGAATCATCCCACCTCCCCCATTGATAACATTGATTAATGATAGGAGATGAAGTTAATTGCTGGAGAAAAGCTGAATCAGATCATGTTTTGCATGAACAGGATGCAATCCTATGTGTTTCAGTATAAAAGATAGAAAAACATCATTTCCAACACATATCCACAGATTTCTTTGTAAGTGAAACAACACCTTAAAAATTTGACTGTCACAACAGCACCAATGGGTAAGCCACTCCCAAAAACATGCCACAGGTAGTCCTCGACTTACGACCACAATTGAGCCCCAAAATTCTATTGTTAAGTGAGACATTTGTTAAGTGAGTTTTGCCCCATTTTACGACCTTTCTTGCCTCAGTTGTTAAGTGAATCACTGCAGTTGATAAGTTAGTAACCCGGTTGTTAAGTGAATCTGGCTTCCCCATTGACTTTGCTTGTCAGAAGGTCACAAAAGGGGATCACATGACTTCGGGACCCTGCAACCATCATAAATAGGAGTCAGTTGCCAAGCAGCTGAATTTGGTCACATGATCATGAGGATGCTGCAAAGGTAACTGTGAAAAACGGTCATAAATCACATTTTTCAGTGCCATTGTAACTTTGAATGGTCACTAAATGAACTGTTGTAAGTCAAGGACTACCTGTACCGTCTGTACCAAATATTTCTCTCTCTCTCTCTCTCTCTCTCTCCTCTCTCTCTCTCTCTCTCTCTCTCTCTCTCTCTCTCTCTCTCTCTCACACACACACACACACACACACACACACACACATTGAGAGGCATCAGGGTCAATTGTCCATAAACATAAGGATATTAAAGATGGATGTTTAGAATTAGCATTTTAGGAACAGTAATTTCCTTGAATAGTGGTATTTTTTTGAATTTTTTTTCAAAGTCAATCTACCCAAAGTGTAATGGGACAGAATAACAGTTGAATGGATATTATCCTGACAATGACTAGATTTAGACTAATCTGCATAAATCATATTAATAATAAGCTGTAAAAATCTATGAGCAGTTTGTATATAAGGCAGCTTCCCCTCTCTCTATCCAGCTCTGTTTTGGAACTAACGTAAGTGTCAAGCCAGGACATGCTGATGGGTTGCAGAGCCAGATAAAACATCTGCTTCACCTAACGTGGCAATTTTTATTTAAGGTGCTTCGCTATTATTTTGTAATAATGGTATTCTTTTATAAAGCTATTTGTGCATGGAAAATCTGCGCCTCAGATAATGATTTTAAAAAATTGAATAGACTACAGCCATTTGTCTGTTATATGCATATAGCTCGTAAGTGGAATTTAAAAAAACAAAACAAAAACCCTGCCATTGCTGTATCATTATGGGTAAAGGTCCACCATTCACTCTGGCCTATTTAAATTACCTGCTATTACCCGCTCCAGAATTCATGATAAACACACTTAAGCTGTCAGGCCAAGGCACATGACGAAAGGAGAAGTCATAAAGTCAGGCAACCCAGCCCATAATAATGTATCAAAATGTGTGAGGGGGAAGCACAATTCTAAGAGCAAATCGTTTTAAAACACCCAAGAAACTGAATCAATGTTCTCTAATAGAGTCGGGGGAACTACTTGCAGCAAATGATTTATTCATCTTTCATGAAGCCGTTCTTTCCGCTTGCAAATTATCTTTGAACAGCCTTCCATTTTCTTTGTTAAATCGATTGCTATTTAAAATTACTCTCTTTTGTCCCTTCTGTGAATAGTTGCCAGTAGCTTGTTTGCTTATTCCTCCATGCATGTACTGATTCAAAAAGTTATTTTGCTTCCATCTCATTTATTA